ACCCTTCGTGGTTGGGGACAGTGTGGCACTGTTCCACATCACTGTACCTCGGCTCTTGGGGATTGTAGGAGCTGGGAGTCATTCCCAACTCGTAACTCTTCCTATCTTGTGTTCTAAGACTATAGTGGCTGCCATAGTATCGTTCGTTCAAACCGACGCTGTGTCGTCAATTCTTTATCAAATCGTGCAATCTAAATTGCTAATTGTAGACGACGTGAAGACGCTCCAGATCCAATTTGAATCAAGTCATTTGCAGCTGTGAGCAGAACGCTATCAACGTTTGAAGCCGCTGTGCAGAAATCCGTCTGTGCTCTCTATCTTTCGTTTTAGGCACATTCAAGCCTATTGTGACTATAACAATTGGTATCAGAGCCCCTTGGAGCAGTTTCGACAATGTCTGGACCTGAGGAAAGGGGTGGCAGAGGTGCTGGTGGCAGTGGAGAAGCTCAAGCTCAAGGCCAACCCCGTGATTCAGCCATGGCGCCCATGCAACCAAGTCTTGGCCCACCTAGGGATGAGCCTAGGGTGTTTGGGCTTGACAAGTTCAACGGTGACAACTTTGCTGAATGGTCCTTCAAGATGGAGAACATCTTTGACCACTATGACCTGCTGGAGGTGATGGAAGGAACGGAGAAGCGCCCCGAGAACGACCCGGAGAAGAGCCCGTGGGTGCGGAAGAGCGCACAAGGCTATCTCTTACTTGGGCAAGCGTTGGGGAGCAGTCAGATCCGTCACATCAAGCCATTCCAGCGTGAACCAGAGAAAGGACCAAAGGCATGGGCTGCTCTCAAGGGTGTACATGCTCCTGCAACAGCGGCGGTAGCGGTGGTGTTGGAATGGCAAATGGCGGCACTACGAATTGAAGAAGACGAAGCGGTTGAAGAAGGGGTGCAGAAATTCTTCGACTTGTTGACGCGGCTTGAGGGAGCTGATTTGAACTACAGTGAGCTCTAAAAGAAGACCAAGTTGCTGGCCTTACTCCCAGAGTCATGGTCCTCGCTCATCATCAACCTTAATCGCGACTTGCCCCGCCTCTCGCTTGAAGACGTGAAGCGAGCTATCCTTCAAGAGGATTTCCGCCGCCGTGAGTTGGCGAGTGCGGATGGCGCTGGGGCAGCGAGCATCGGCCGTGGATATGGTCGAGGAAGAGGCAGAGGACGAGGGGGAGGAAGGTTTGATGGCAGCAACTTCGGCGGAGGCCGCAGGAGTGGCGGTTACGGCAGCGACGACAAGAGCTACGGACGCGGTCGCGGCCGATTCGACGGCGAGTGTCACTATTGCCACAAGAGCGGACACATGTGGCGCGACTGCTACAAACTCCCTGATGGTTGGACCCCTGCTCAAGGCCAAGAGGGTAGAGGAGCAGGAGGAGGGAGAGGACGAGGCCGTGGAGGCCGTGGCGGTCGCGGTGGCGGAGCTGCAAACATGAAGAGCGGAGACAACGACAAGGACCCGAGCGACGATCGATACCCGGGTCTATTCTACTTCGTGTCGACGCAAGTACCGGCTGGTCCAGAGAAGGATGAAGGCTTTGAGGAGCCAGCAGCTGTGGGGAAGGTGACCCTACACCCCCTGGACTATTGGGTGATTGATAGTGGCGCTACCTATAGCATAACACCTCGCCCGGACTTGCTCACCGAACTCGAGCCGTCACCGGTGAAGCATGTCACATCGGCTTTGGGGCAGCGAGCAGAGGTGAAAGGCATGGGCAAGGCCATGTTCAAGGGTGCTGATGGGAAGATGGTGGGCCTCAAGAACGTGCTTTGGGTGCCCAGCCTTGCTGCAAACCTGATTTCCGTGCGGCGGTTGGCAAAGGCCGGCATGGACACGAACTCGAAGGGAGCCAAGACCTACACCGCAAGGCTTGGCGATCGAATTCTTTGGGACCTTCATGAGGACAGGGATGTCTACAACGAGATGTGGCAGATCCCAGTGGTCCCTATGCCTAAGGAGAGGCAAGTGGCAGCAAGCATCAGCACCAAGGATGGAGCGGTCGGTAGCGACGATGGCGCGAACAGTCGCGCTAAGGAGAATGAGCTCAAGAAGAGCAAACCTGGAGGGACCAGCAAGTTCAGTGAACCTAAGGAGAGTGGTGCAGCAACCAAGGAGCAGCAAAAGGGTGAGGAGAACCCAGAGGCAGCAGCGGAGGAGGACTACAGAGAGAGTATGTGGGGCGCTATTGCGAGCGCGGCATTCTCCAATCCAACTTCGGCTACGGGGGAGTGTGATTGGCTCACCTTGCATCGGCGCATGGGGCATGTGGCCCTGCCCATCTTGCAGCAGCTAGTGAAGAATGAGATGGTTGCTGGCATACGTGTGAAGGGGGAGCCCGATGAGGTGCTTGGCTGCCCGACGTGCATTCAAGCCAAGTTCACCCGGTTTCCGTTCCCTAGTTCGGAGGCAACGGCAAATGCACCGCTTGATGAGGTGGTGATGGACGTGGTGGGCCCCCTGAAGCTTGGAGCTGCTGGAGCTGAGTATTTTCTCACCATTGTCGACGTCTACACCCGCATGACTTGGGTGTACGTGCTGGCCAAGAAGAGCGACGTGGCTGAAACGTTGAAGACGGATTGGTTCCCGATGGTGGAGCGGCAACAAGACCGTCTAGTCAAGTCAATCCGCACCGATCGAGGGGGAGAGTTCCTGAGCAAGGAGTTTGGGTTGTGGCTGAAGAAGAATGGTATTCGGCACTCCCTCACCATGCCATACTCCCCTGCAATGAACGGCATCGCCGAGCGAGCGAACCGCACAATCACGGAGGCGGCACGCGGGTTGCTCATTGAAGCCGGGCTACCCGACTATTTCTGGCCTGATGCGGTGCGGAGCACGTGTGTGGCCAAGAACAGAGCCTTGACTCATGTGGGAGCAGACAAATGGGTGCCCTATGTGGAGTGGCTAGGAAGGAAGCCAAAGGTGGATATGCTTCGGGTGTTCGGGTGCATGTGCATGGCGCTCGTGCCTAAGCATCTTCGGCACAACAAGCTTGGTGCCAAGGCGGTGTGGGCCGTGCACTTGGGCATGGCTCAAAACAGCAAGGGATGGCTTCTTTGGGACCCATTCACCAAGAAGTTCTTGGTGAGCAGGGACTGCAAGTTCATGGAGAACTTCATGTACAAGGATTGGAAGGCGGAGAATGAGGCGAAGATAGGCGTGCGGTTTGGGGAGGTGAAGAGTTCCGGTTTGGAGCATGTGGAGCTGCCTTTGGAGCTGAGCAGCGGCAGCACAACCACAAGGCAATCCTCCCTTGTGAATGGGGTAGAGGAGGCCAATGATGCAGAGGAAGAAGAGGAGGAGGTGCAGCAAGTGAGCGAGCGTGCACCGTCACTCCCTTCCCGTACTACGAGTGCTCCACGGATTCGAGCCACACCGCAGCAACGCCAAGGCCTTCAAGTCCCTGCAGCTGAAGAGGAAGGAAGGGGGAAGAGGAGAGTTCAACCCCCTAATAGGCTGACCTATGATGCGCCGGGAAAGCAGGGCAAGACGGCCCTGGCCGGAGCGGCAATGATGGTCGGAGACGACGAGGAGAGTGACTACGAGGAGTGTGCCTTCGCGTTCTTCTCTCCGGTGGAGATGCCGGGAGAACCAGCAACTCTCAAGGAGGCTTTGGAGAGTAGTGATGCTGAGGAGTGGAAGAAGGCCATGGAGAGTGAGCTGAAGAGCATCGAGGAGAATGACACGTTTGAATTGGTGGAGCTACCGGAGGGCCGTACGGCGATAACGTCCAAGTGGCTCTTCAAAATCAAGTCGGATGCCGACGGCAAGATCGAGCGCTACAAGTCTAGGCTTGTAGCCAAGGGGTACCAGCAGAAGGAGAAGGTGGACTTCAAGGAGCTGTTTTCCCCTGTGGTGAAGCCGACGACGCTGCGAACCCTCATGTATGCGGCGGTAAACACCCGACCGGACGTCGCGTTTGCTACCGGGCAGCTGGCTAGGGTTGTGCAATGCCCTAATGAGGAGCAGGTAGCAGCTGGAATGAGGGTGGCCAAGTATCTTGGCCAAACACCGACCGTTGGGCTGCAATACTCGGCGGCGGCACAAAGGCGCCAAAAGGGCGCGGATGGTGTTGAACCCGGGCGTTTGTTCCTCACCGCCTACTCGGATGCTTCATATGCATCAGAACCAGAGGACATGACAAGTGTGGGAGGCTTCATATGCTGTGTTGGTGGGAGAGCAAGAAGCAGGTTGACCAAGCTTTGAGCTCGGTGGAGTCCGAGTACATGGCACTCTTCCGTGCCGTACGGGAGATTGTGTGGCAGCGGCGTTTGTTGGCTGAATTGGGGGAGGAGCAGCAAGGACCTACCCCACTGTACTGTGACAGCCAGGGTGCCATTGCTCTTGCTAAGAACCCTGTGTTGCATGGACTCACGAAGCACATGAGGGTGAAGTGGCATTGGACGAGGAGCATGGTAACCGCGGGTGAAGTTGAGTTGCGCTACGTGAAGACCACGGGGCAGCCGGCTGACATGATGACCAAGAGGCTGGTGGAGCAGCAGCATTGGAAGTGTTGCAAGCTGGCTGGGATGGCTCTGAACTGAGAGAGCAACATATCCTAAGGCCAACAATCCGAGGGGGAGTTTGTTGGTGCAACCCTACGGTTTGCACTCGGCTTGTTGTCCGTGTGCGTGAATGTGTGTGTGTATGGAATGGTATGAGGGCATGGGATAATATATATTTCATGCTTATAATTGTGTGTGAATGTTGAGTCATGATGTCGAGTGTGTGTGTCGAGTCAATAGCGAGTTATCGCTAGACGCGTGTTACGCGGTCGTTTGTGTCTCGCGCGCGGTTTCTATTTTGTCGTGCGCGGTTTCTATTTTGTCCTGTGTCGAACGTTCGGCGTGTCGCAGGTGTGTGCAGCAGACCCATCAAGAACTCAAGGATGAGTTTGTGATGAAGAGCCCGAGCCTTGGTGTCAAGCCTCAAGTGATTTCGAAGCTCGCCAAAAAGGGTACACCTCAAGATATTGAAGATAGTTACATTACTTTGTGTAGTGTAACATTTCACTTGGTGTAGGCCCTAGTGAAGGGTAGTTTCGAGACCCTTCGTGGTTGGGGACAGTGTGGCACTGTTCCACATCACTGTACCTCGGCTCTTGGGGTTTGTAGGAGCTGGGAGTCATTCCCAACTCGTAACTCTTCCTATCTTGTGTTCTAAGACTATAGTGGCTGCCATAGTACCGTTCGTTCAAACCGACGCTGTGTCGTCAATTCTTTATCAAATCGTGCAATCTAAATTGCTAATTGTAGACGACGTAAAGACGCTCCAGATCCAATTTGAATCAAGTCATTTGCAGCTGTGAGCAGAACGCTATCAACGTTTGAAGCCGCTGTGCAGAAATCCGTCTGTGCTCTCTATCTTTCGTTTTAGGCACATTCAAGCCTATTGTGACTATAACACGAACGCTTCTGCCCCGCACCACCGCTTCGCGTACCACTCCCCTACGCACCACTGCCCTGCATGCCGCTGCCGCGCGCGCCTCACTGCCCAGCGCACCGCTGCACTGCGTGCCCCGCTGCCCCGGGTGCTGCTGCCCAGCGCACTGCTGCTCTGCTGCCCCGCGCGCTCCGCTGCTCCGCGCGCCCCGCTACCCTGCGTGCCCAGCACGCCCCGCTGCCCTGCGTGCCGCACAGCGCGCCACGCTGCACCGCGCGCCTCGCTTCCCTGCGCGGCACTGAACCGCGCGCCACGCTGCTCCGCGCGCCCTGCTGCCCTTCGCGCCTTGCTTCCCTGCGCGCACTGCACGCCCTGCTGCCCTGCGCACCCCACTGCTCTGCGCGCCCCGCTGCCCTGCACGCCCCGCTGCCCTGCGCGCCCCGCTGCCCTACGTCCCCTGCTGCCCTGCGCGCCGTGCTGCCCCGCGCGCTGCTGCCCATGCGCCTCGCCTGCCCCGCGCGCCCTGCTGCCCTGCGCGCCCTGCCGCCCGTGCGCTGTGCCTGCCCTGCTGCCCTGAGCGCCCTGTTGCCCTGCGCGCCCCGCTGCCCTGCGTACCCTGCTGCCCTGCGCGCTGCTGCACCACACGATGCTGCCCATGCGCCCCGATGCGTTACACCGCAGCCGCTGCCACCCGTGCACTACACCACTGCTGCTGCGGCCCTTGCAAAACTGCTGCTTGTGTGCCGCTACCGCCCGAGCGCCACTGCTGCACCGGGCCATGCTACTGCTCCCCTACTGCTGGGTTGTATCCCGAGCCGCAGTCCATTCCTATATCCTAGTGGTGCTGCCTGACCTAGTTTATATCATGGCAACTATCACCGTCCTAGCGGTTGACGCAGACGGGCGCCCTCTCAAGCTTGAGTCGTGGCTAGAGCGCCTGAACATGTATCTCCAGCGTTTCATTTTCGATGGTGTCCCCCTGTTCGAGCACACGTCGGGGTCTTTTCAGGCCCCCACGACTCCAACTGAGACTGCTGCTACCGCTGGGGAGGAAGTGCAGCGGTGGTACCGGGCGGACCGCATTGGCTGCACACGGTAGACGGCGCGCGACACTGTCGCCCAGCTTGCTGTCCACGCTCACCTGTCGCTCGACCAGAGGGCCTACTTTCGCCAGGTGACATCGGCCCAGACTTTCTACAACGCCGTGGTTAGCCACTACTCCTCCCTCTCTCTCCTACCACCCTAGGCCGTCTCACGCTGCCGTTTCTCCTCCCCGACTTGTCATCGCTAACATATGGGGGTGGAGGTTCTGGGGGTGGGCAGCAGCAGCAGCAGCAGTAGCAGCGGCGGCGTCCGTTGTTCTGGGAGCAGCTGCAGCTGACATCGCTGGCCTGTGTTGAGGAGGCGAGTGTAGGTGCATGTGAGTCTGCTAGCACAGGCGCAGTTCCTGCAGAGGCTTTGCACACCTTCACGCTTGACTCGGGCGCTTCTCGCTGCTTCTTCTGCGACTGCACCTCAGTCACACCGCTCACAACACCTTGTGAGAATGTGAACGAATGAATGTCTGAACTAGCAAGCAGTTGGGTACAAGTAGCAAACACAAAAGTGTTGTACCCTCTAAGGACTACCCCACTACAGCCTAAATAGACTATAGCATATATAAGTTTGACACACCCCCATAGGCAAAGTGGGGGAGAACAAGGGGTCACAAGACCAGTCAAGAAGGCAAAGCAAGCTCAGGGTGGATCACAAAGTCACCACGCAGTCTGAGCACAAGCAAAGGGCCACAAGGCCAGTTCACATGCAGAGTTATATAAAGGAAAACAAACAATACAGTGAACACAACTTAGCAAGTGTAAGCATGCAGGTATAAGTATATAGAGTACAGTACAAGAAGAGTCAAGAAGTCAGCAAGTGAGCCACAGTAGGTACAAGGCCTAACACAGTACAGAAACGCAGATGATCACAAGGCTGAAGTGCCTTGGTGAAAACATCAGCAGTGTTGGCCTGAGAGGCCACGTAAGCAAGACGAAGCTGGCCACGCTGCGGCAACTCTCGAGCAAGCAAGTAGCGCAGAGCAATGTGCTTCATTCTGTGCTCCAGTCTGTGCTCCTGACACAAGGCCAACATGGCCTTGTTGTCGACGTACAGAACTGGAGGAGAACGAGGCGCCTCTCCCAAGTCAGTCAGCAGGTAGGTGAGCCAGCGTAGCTCCTGTGCAGTCATGGCCCCAGCATAGATCTCAGCCTCACAACTCGAGCTGAGAACAGAAGAAGAACGGGTAGACCGCCAAGAGACAGAACCGGAGCCAAGACTGAAGGTGTAACCCTGTGACGACCGCTGCGTAGCCAAGTCGTCAACCCAGGAGGCGTCAGCATGACCATTGAGGACAACTCGAGCCCGTCTTCCAAGCGCGAGCCCCATGCCCGATGTACTGCACAAGTATCGCAACACCCTCTTCGCAGCATCCCAGTGCACCTTTCGGTGCCTGCCGGGAGCCACGTAGCGAGCCAGAAGGCTGAGAGGGTATGCGAGGTCAGGTCGTGTGCAAGTCATCAGGTACATGAGGCAGCCCACAAGCTCTGGATACGGGCCACTCGGCTCTACGGACTCGTCCGAAGGTGGAGCTGAGAGCGAGTGACCGGTAGGCAGAGGAGTGGACTGTGGCGAGGAGTACGTGAAGCCGAAGCGCTGAAGGACCTGCTGCACCATGTGTGACTGAGTCAAGGTAATGGTGCGCTGTGCTCTGTCCCAGGTGATCCGCAAGCCAAGATAGCTTGTGAGCTCACCCAGGTCTGTGCACGTGTGTCTCTTCTGCAGCTCGGACTTTACGTGGGCGAGTGCCTCAGTGTCAGCAGTAGCAAAGACGAGGTCGTCTACGTACACGAGAACATAGAACGGCGGCAGAGTAGTGTCGGTGCATAAGAACAGAGAAGGGTCAGAAGTGGAAGGAGCAAAACCAAGAGCAGCAAGAGTCGTCCTGGGTGTGTTGTGCTACTCACGAGGTGCCTGGCGGAGACCGTAGACTGGTCGCCGGAGGCTCCACTGGGTACCAGCTGGAAACGACCCAGTGAAGCCAGGTGGGCGGCGCAGCCAGATCTCCTCGTGCTGGCTGCCCTGTAGGAAGGCTGTGCTGAAGTCAAGCGAGTGGCGCTCGTAGTCACGCTGAGCAGCTACGTGCAGCAGTACCCGAAGAGTGGTCATCTTCGGGGTAGGGGAGAAGGTCTTAAAGAAGTCAACTCCCTGTCGCTGACTGAAGCCACGTGCAACGTAACGCGCCTTGAAGACAGGCGGAGAACCTGGCGGCCGCTTCACCCTGAAGATCCACATGCCACTGACGATGTTCGCCCCAGGCGGGGAAACCTCGTCGACGTAGGTGCCTGTGGACTTCCAGGAAGCCATCTCTGCGTCCATGGCTGCCTGCCACTGAGAGGAGTAGGGACCCTCTATCGCCTCTGCGTAAGAGCGCGGGGTCGGGATGTCTGGTGCATCCGGGTCTCCCTCAGGGGCAAGCAGCATGGACACGAGATGAGGTACAGAAGCAGCAAAGCACTCAAACTCCTCCTGTCTGTCCTCAAGAACGTCCGTGCCAAGAGCACACTCACCCCCGACGGACGGAGGACAGACAGACACAGACGCAGACTCAGCAACAAGACTAGCGGCGTAGTCTAGGCGACAGGCTGCAGCAAAGTCAACAAGCTCAGTAACAAGAGCAGACGCAGCAGTGGACTCAAACAAAGGGTCAGTGACAGCAGTGGCCAGAAAACGCGTGACAGCTGGACTAGCAGCACGTAGGGAGTCAGACGCAGGGTCCGGACCGGCAGGAAGAGAGGATGCAGGAGGAGACGGCAGAGGGACACGCTGTGGAGCAGTGGAAGGACGCAGAGTCATAGAGTGAGTGCCAGGGACAGGAGGAGGACGCGGACGCGAAACACGACCAGCGCGAACAGGACGGACAGGCGACGCAGAACGAGACTCAGGCGACACAGGACGAGACTCAGGCTCACGACGCTCCGTAAGACCTCTAGTCGGTCCAGAGTAAGGAGAAAGACCAGGCATTGGCTGGAACCGCGACAGGGACTGGACAGGCGGTGGACTCAGTAAAGGAGGAGGAGGACCAGGAGAAGGCGGGGAGCCAAGAACCTGCTGAAGAAGCGGAACGTAGTACGGCCGCGGCCGCACAGCGCCTCCAGAAACAGCAGAGACAGAACCGGTACCCTCAGCCCCAGGGTCTCCAGTCCCAGCAGTACCTCCAGCAGCTCCAGCACCAGCAGCACCTCCAGAAGCTCCAGCAGCACCTCCAGCACCAGCAGCACCTCCAGCAGCACCAGCACCAGCAGCACCTCCAGAAGCTCCAGCAGTACCTCCAGCACTAGCAGCACCTCCAGTTGCGGCGTCTCCCACTAGGGGCAGACGCAGCTCCAACCTTCTCAGTGCCAACGAGGTTGACAGCAGCAGCAGAAGCAACAGAGGGGAGAAGGGGGACAGGGGAACACCCCTCAAAGAAAGGGGTGCGACGGTCGCCGCGGGAAGCACCTACTGCTAAGATACTCTTCTCAGCTGCAGCAAGACGCTCCTCTAGCAGGTCGACAGTGAGCTCGGTGGGGCAAAGGGAGAGAAAGTGGTCCCTGACTGAAGAAAGTGAGTCAGGGAGGCGGGTGACTAGGTAGTAAAGGGTGATGTACATGGGGGGGGGGTTCTTGGCACAGAACTTAGTGGGAAGGGCAGCGCGGTAGCGGGCGTCACTAGTGCGAAGGTGAGCAACTAGGTCAGCGACTGTGGCAAAGGCAGCAAGGTCAGGGAAAAGGTACGGCAGCATGAGGCGGCTGAGGGCAGCAGTGGCAGGGGAGGAGTAGCGCGCAACTACAGCGTCGTACAAAGACTGAGCAGTCTTGTACTGGCCAAAATGCGCGCGCTCAGCGGGCGGCAGGTGACTACGAACAGCAAGACGAGCAACAGCGTCACGAGTGGTCCACTGCGAGCGAACCGTACTGTCAGCAGTGGCAGTAGGAGCAGTAGAAACACCGGACGTGTGATAAAAAAGGGACACCCCATCCCTAGAATCACACTGAAGAAAGAGCTGGAGGTCGTCAACCCACACGTCAAAGTCAATTGCACGTCCCTCAGTGTCAAAGGTAAGAATGGTAGGACTAGCCATAGCAGCAGTAGGAGCAGTAGCAAGAGTAGCAGCAAAAACAGCAGTAGCAGCAGTAGGAGCAGTGCACAGCAGTGCGGCTCGGTAGGGCAGGGCGGCGCAGTGGGGCTGGGTGGCGCGGCTCGGCTGGGCGGCGCGGCTCGGCTCCTGGCGGCGCGGGTGCTTACCAGGGGCGGGTGCAGACAGGGCCGCAACTGGGGCGGCAGCAGGGGGCAGGGCCGCTACGGGCGGTGCAGGCAGGGCCGCGACAGGCCAGTGACGGGCCAGCAACGGGTGGCAACGGGCTGGCGACGGGCCGGCTACGGGCGGCAGCGGGCCGGCGACGGGCGGCAACGGGCCGGCGACTGGCCGGCGACGGCCGGTGACGGGCCAGCGACAGCCGGCGACGGGCGGCAACGTCCCGGCGACGGGCCGGCGACGGGCGGCAACGGGCCAGCGACGGCCGGCGACGGGCGGCAATGGGCCGGCGACGGGTCTGCGACGGGCGGCGACGGGTGGCGACGGCCGGCGACGGGCGGCAACGGGCCGGCGACGGGCTGGAACGGGCCGGGAAAGGCCGGCGACGGGCCGGGGCGGGCCGGCGACGGGCCGGGCCTCTAAGGCAGGGCCACGACGGTTCTTTAGGGAGGGGCCGGGACGCGACGGGACGGGCCTCTAGGGAGGGGCCGGGACGGGCCGCGACTGTCACCCTGGCCAACCCCTCCTCTGGCACAGTCTTTGCACACAGCTCCACTGTTCTCCTGTGTCCTACAGCCCACTCTGGCTCCCTCTTAGGTTTCCACTTCCCCTCGTTCGCAACGAACTTGGTGAGTACCTCTGACCTCCAGGATATGTTGGTCACTACCATCACTCCTAAAGGCAAGCTCGTGGCGATCTGTATGGGCACAGTGACTGGCGACCACCTCGCCACGTTAACTCGGGGGCCTGATTCTGGCTTGTACACACTGCACTCTGAGTCAGCACAGGTGGCCGCGTCTGGTTAGGTAGCTGCATCCTGCTCGTGTCAGTTACTCACGCACTCGTCCCTCCTCTGGCACCACCGTCTTGGTCACCCCTCCTTGCCACGCCTCCGCGGCATGCACTCGCGTCTCCTTGTCTCAGGACTCCCCAGGTCCCTGTACCCCTTATGGGCTACCCCGCTACAGCCTACACAAATGTAAGCACTATAACATTTTGACAAATATGAATGCATACTCCTGAAATTAACGGAAGACTCGGAGTATCCTAAAACAATTTTTCATTTTCTAACCCTGAACCCTTGATCAAGAACCCATTTTCCGAACGCCCTGCCCCCTTCCATGCATTGCAAAGAAACTGGAACATGGTTAGGCTAAGGGTGCGTTCTTGGGCTATCGACAGCTCCGATCGTTCCACGTCATAATCAATCGAATCGTAACCCTTCACAGCTCGATGTCAGCTTGCCTGACACTGGTAGAGAACGCACCCTAAAATACCAACCCAACGACCCCTGTGGCATGCCCTTCATATCCTGTCATTTAGGGTACGTTATTGGTCGGTGTCTAACTTTGGGCCATGCTACTTGATACGAGGTGGAACTGACGGGCATGAGGGAAATTTGAAGATTTGTGTCAAACCTCCCTGGATGGGTCTGGCACAAGGCAAACTTGGCCTGAAGCTAGACACTGGCTAAGAACGAAGTCGTTGATTGGCAGAAACTACAACGAAGCTGTTCGATTGGTGGGGACTACATATGTGCCGATGCAGCGGGTGAGATAGAGTTTCCGAAAAGAATATCGGTTTCGTGGACAGACCCAAGGTTGTGTTCAGCATGTGAGACCGCACTTTGTGATCCAACAAAGTCAGATCACGTATCTAGAGACAGCCCCTATAGGACGCAAGAAAAGAAGAACGACGGAAAGAGCAGGGAAATGGCAAGACTCAGTAACTAACGAACCTTTAATGACAGTGCTATGTTGCACGAGCCATCCCCACCGATTAGTAGTTCCGATTAATGCAATCAATTGCGCTCAGACGAATAACAAGGTTGAGCATGTATATCTTACCATGTTGGTTGTTGGCACGGTTGTTAAGAGAAAAGCAAATGTTGATGATGGGGCTAGTCACAACCTTTTCAACCTGACGATACCAAAAACATTGATGTTACCCCTTGACAAGGGCGGCGACCGTTTTTCGTTCCGCCGCCACCGTTGTCTCTGCCGCCACCTGACTCGGTCCTTCGCCAGGTTCTTAGTCTCCCGTCTTCTACTAGCCTTCCTCCTAGCTTACTGAGTCCACCGCCTCACAAGTCGTAGTCACAGTTAAAGCCAGACTCCCCACTGCCTGCTCCTTCTTGTTACGGTGAGCAGACAGACTCTTTTACAGAGCGCCGTGAGCCTGAGTCTCGTCCTGCCTTGCCTGTTTGCGCTGTCGCACTGGTCGTCGTCTTCCTCGTCCGCGTCCTCCTCCTGTCCCTGGCACTCACATTATGGCACTTCGTCCTTCCTCTATTCCACTCCGAGTTCCCCTGCCGCCTCCTCCTGCGTCCTCTCTTCCTGCCGTTCCTGACCCTGAGTCTGACTTAGCTCGTGCTGCCAGTCTTACTGTCCCTCGTCTTCTAGCCACTGTTGTCACTGACCCTTCGTTTGAGTCCACTGCTGCATCTGCCCTAGTTGCTGAGCTTGTTGACTTTGTTGCTGCCTGTCATCTCGACTACGCCACTAGTCTTGTTGCTGAGTCTGAGTCTGACTGTCCTCCGTCCGTCAAGGGTGAGTGTGCTCTTTGCACGGACGTCCTTGAGGACAGGCAAGAGGACTTTGAGTGTCTTTCAGCTGCTGTACCTCATCTCGTGGCCATGCTGCTTGCACCTGAGGGGGACCCGGATGCACCAGACATCCAGACCCCGCTCTCTTACGCAGAGGCGATTACGGATCCCTACTCCTCTCAGTGGCAGACAGCCATGGACGCAGAGATGGCATCCTGGAAGTCCACAGGCACCTACGTCGATGCAGTTCCCCCTTCTGGGCCGAACATAATCGATGGCATGTGGATTTTCAGTGTGAAGCGGCCGCCGGGTTCTCCGCATGTCTTCAAGGCTCGTTACGTTGCACGAGGCTTCAGTCAGCGACAAGGAGTTGACTTCTTCTAGACCTTCTTCCCTACCCCGAAGATGACCATTCTTCGGGTTATGCTGCACGTTGCCGCTCAGCGTGACTACGGCTCAGACCTTCCTGTTCTGCGTCTGCACTCAGACAGAGGCGGGGAGTTTTCCTCCGACCTCCTGAGAGCCTTCTGTCGTTCGGAGGGCATCCGCCAGACGTTCACGCTTCCGGCCTCCCCGCAGCAAAATGGGATTGCTGAGCGCCGCATTGGCATGGTCATGGACGTCGCTCGTACGTCCATGATCCATGCGGCTGCTCCCCATTTTCTGTGGCCGTTCGCGGTTCAGTACGCTGCGCATCAGATCAACCTTCAGCCTCGTGTCTCCTTGCCGGAGACCACACCTACTCTGCGGTGGACGGGGAAGGTTGGCGATGCGTCCGCGTTCCGTGTCTGGGGATCTCGAGCTTTTGTCCGCGATACTACAGCGGACAAGCTGTCCTCCCGTGCCGTTCCCTGTATCTTCCTTGGCTTCCCTCCTGACGCACCCGGGTGGCAGTTCTACCACCCCACCTCGCGTCGTGTTCTGTCCTCTCAGGACGTCACGTTTGACGAATCGGTGTCGTACTACCGTCTCTTTCCCTACCGCACTGCCTCTCCCCCCCCCCCCCCCGCCGCTCTTCCTCGCACCAGGTACTCCCCCGGTAGACCCCCTCCCCCCCCAGGGTCCTGCCCCCTCAGGTGTGTCCCAGGTAGACCCTGCCGAGCCGGTCGAGGTAGCTGTCGACTCAGGTGCTGAGTCTGGGGGTGCTGAGCCTACGGGTGCGGGGACTGGGGGTGCTGAGTTTGGGGGTGCTGAGTCTGGGCGTGCTGAGGCTGGGGGTGCTGAGCCTGGGCGTGTGGAGCCTAAGGGTACTGTGTCTGGAGGTGCTGAGCCTGCGCCTGCTGTGTCTGGAGGTGCTCTAGGTGTCCCGCAGCGGCGGGAGCCTCTCTCTCCACAGCAGATTCGTGAGTGGTACTCTCGGCGCTGTCGGGGTGCTGCTGGTGCTGGAGGTGCTGCTGGAGCTTCTGGAGGTGCTGCTGGTGCTGCTGGTGCTGGAGGTGCTGCTGGTGCTGGAGCTGCTAGAGGTGGTGCTGGTACTGGAGCTGCTGGAGCTGCTGGAGGTGCTGCTGGTGCTGGAGCTGCTGGAGGTGCTGCTGGTGCTGGAGCTGCTGGACCTGCTGGAGGTGCTGCTGGTGCTGGAGCTGCTGGAGGTGCTACTGGTGCTGGAGCTAATGGAGGTGCTGCTGGTGCTGGAGCTGCTCGAGGTGCTGCTGGTGCTGGTGCTGCTGGTGCTGGGACGGGAGACCCTGGGGCTGAGGGTACCGGTTCTGTCTCTGCTGTTTCTGGAGGCGCTGCGCGGCCGCGGCCGTACTACGTTCCACTTCTTCAGCAGGTTCTTGGCTCCCCGCCTTCTCCTGGTCCTCCTCCTCCTTTCCTGAGTCCACCGCCTGTCCAGTCTTAGTCGCGGTTCCAGCCAGCCTCTCCACTGCCTGGTCCTTCTGCTTACTCTGGACCGACTAGAGGTCTTACGTAGCGTCGTGAGCCTGAGTCTCGTCCTGTGTCGCCTGAGTCTTGTTCTGCGTCGCCTGTCCGTCCTGTTCGCGCTGGTCGTGTTTCGCGTCCGCGTCCTCCTCCTGTCCCTGGCACTCACTCTATGACTCTGCATCCTTCCACTGCTCCGCAGCGTGTCCCTCTGCCGTCTCCTTCTGCGTCCTCTCTTCCTGCTGGTCCGGACCCTGCGTCTGACTCCCTACGTGCTGCTAGTCCAGCTGTCACGCGTTTTCTGGCCACTGCTGTCACTGACCCTTTGTTTGAGTCCACTGCTGCGTCTGCTCTTGTTACTGAGCTTGTTGACTTTGCTGCAGCCTGTCGCCTAGACTACGCCGCTAGTCTTGTTGCTGAGTCTGCGTCTGTGTCTGTCTGTCCTCCGTCCGTCGAGGGTGAGTGTGCTCTTGGCACGGACGTTCTTGAGGACAGACAGGAGGAGTTTGAGTGCTTTGCTGCTTCTGTACCTCATCTCGTGTCCATGCTGCTTGCCCCTGAGGGAGACCCGGATGCACCAGACATCCCGACCCCGCGCTCTTACGCAGAGGCGATAGAGGGTCCCTACTCCTCTCAGTGGCAGGCAGCCATGGACGCCGAGATGGCTTCCTGGAAGTCCACAGGCACCTACGTCGACGAGGCTCCCCCGCCTGGGGCGAACATCGTCAGTGGCATGTGGATCTTCAGGGTGAAGCGGCCGCCGGGTTCTCCGCGTGTCTTCAAGGCGCGTTACGTTGCACGTGGCTTCAGTCAGCGACAGGGAGTTGACTTCTTTCAGACCTTCTCCCCTACCCCAAAGATGACCACTCTTCGGGTACTGCTGCACGTAGCTGCTCAGCGTGACTACGAGCTCCACTCACTTGACTTCAGCACAGCCTTCCTACAGGGCAGCCTGCACGAGGAGATCTGGCTGCGCCGCCCACCTGGCTTCACTGGGTCGTTTCCAGCTGGTACCTAGTGGAGCCTCCGGCGACCAATCTACGGTCTCCGCCAGGCACCTCGTGAGTGGCACAACACACTCAGGACGACTCTTGCTGCTCTTGGTTTTGCTCCTTCCACTTCTGACCCTTCTCTGTTCTTACGCACTGACACTACTCTGTCGCCGTTCTACGTTCTCGTCTACGTAGACGACCTCATCTTTGCTACTGCTGACACTGAGGCACTCGCCCACGTAAAGTCCGAGCTGGAGAAGAGACACACGTGCACAGACCTGGGTGAGCTGACAAGCTATCTTGGCTTGCGGATCACCCGGGACAGAGCACAGCGCACCATTACCTTGACTCAGTCACACATGGTGCAGCAGGTCCTTCAGCGCTTCGGCTTCACGTACTCCTCGCCACAGTCCACTCCTCTGCCTACCGGTCACTCGCTCTCAGCTCCACCTTCGGACGAGTCCGTAGAGCCGAGTGGCCCGTATCTAGAGCTTGTGGGCTGCCTCATGTACCTGATGACTTGCACACGACCTGACCTCGCATACCCTCTCAGCCTTCTGGCTCGCTACGTGGCTCCCGGCAGGCACCGAAAGGTGCACTGGGATGTTGCGAAGAGGGTGTTGCGATACTTGTGCAGTACATCGGGCATGGGGCTCGTGCTTGGAGGACGGGCTCGAGTTGTCCTCACTGGTCACGCTGACGCCTCCTGGGTTGACGACTTGGCTACGCAGCGGTCGTCACAGGGCTACACCTTCAGTCTTGGCTCCGGTTCTGTCTCTTGGCGGTCTACCCGTTCTTGTTTTGTTCTCAGCTCGAGTTGTGAGGCTGAGATCTACACTGGGGCCATGGCTGCACAGGAGCTACGCTGGCTCACCTACCTGCTGACCGACTTGGGAGAGGCGCCTCGTTCTCGTCCAGTTCCGTACGTCGACAACAAGGCCATGTTGGCCTTGTGTCAGGAGCACAGATTGGAGCACAGAACGAAAAACATTGCTCTGCGCTACTTCCTTGCTCGAGAGTTGCAGCAGCGTGGCCAGCTTCGCCTTGCTTACGTGGCCTCTCAGGCCAACACTGCTGATGTTTTCACCAAGGCACTTCAGCCTTGTGATCATCAGCGTTTCTGTACTGTGTTAGGCCTTGTACCTACTGTGCCTCACTTGCTGACTTCTTGACTCTGCTTGTACTGTACTCTATATATACTTATACCTGCATGCTTACACTTGCTAGGTTGTGTTCACTGTATTGTTTGCTTTCCTTTATATAACTCTGCATGTGAACTGGCCTTGTGGCCCTTTGCTTGTGCTCAGACTGCGTGGTGACTTTGTGATCCACCCTGAGCTTGCTTTGCCTTCTTGACTGGTCTTGTGACCCCTTGTTCTCCCCCACTTAGCCTATGGGGGTGTGTCAAACTTATATATGCTATAGTCTGTTTAGGCTGTAGTGGGGTAGTCCTTAGAGGGTACAACACTTTTGTGTTTGCTACTTGTACCCCACCTGTTTCCTAGTTCAATTCATTCCTCTCATTATTCTCACAGATTGACTACCCCACTACAGCCTAGATAGACTATAGCAGATATGTTTGACACAAAGGTCTTAGCCTTGAAAAAGATCCGAAGGGCTTTTCTCAGCCCAACATGGTATGAGAGCCTCCAAGGCAAGATCAACTACTAAAACTTCTACAACAACACAAGACATGGCAACTCAGAAGGAGAGGAGCTCCTCCAACGGATCTCCCGGCACTACTCCTACTCCACCTCCAGCCTCTGGCCTACAGACAGAGGAAGGCACAGCAACAAGACCAGCTGCGGAGTCTACCGAAACTCCCGGGAACCTAGCAGTAGGCTTCGACCCAAACATGATGGAGAAATTCTTCTCCTTCATGTCCTTCTACGAGCAACACCAGCAAGCAGCTTCTGCGCACTCAAACAACAGTGACAACAACAATTGGGTTACTCCAATGAGCCTTGACGGTTCATCTTATGCGCGTGGAAACCAGCAGCAACCTACCTTTGCTCCGTACAAACCTCAACGCGGCTCCATTAGCTTCACGCCACACCAACATCCTTCACATGAACAAGAGAAGACATTGGACGCGCTTCAGGTTCAATCACAGTTCGCACATGTGTTAAAACTGCAAACATCGACACTCTTCGACGGAAAAGACTTCTATACCTGGTCATTCGAGTTCGAGTTGATGATGGAAGGCGCGCAAACTCTTGGATTCTTCGACGGTTCCCTGCCATACCCAATACACGGGACGCAGTACGACAAGCAGCAGTACACATATCAGTCACTGATGGCGTATACGATACTTCTGCGAAATCTATCTCCAAACGAGCAGTAGAACATCCGGTCTTATCGAGGATACGGCAATTCCGCCGAGCTGGAGTACGACCACCTGAAGAGCCTGTATCAAGCAACAGACAGTGTTAATCAAAGTCGTCTCATGGCACAACTGACAACATTGGAAATGAAACCCGGCGAAAAGGGAATGGCGTATATCAGCCGTTGTCGTGGACTGCGCGACAGACTCCTTCGATGCGGAGGATCGATATCCGAAGAAGCCTTCGTAACAGTTATCATCGCTGGCCTCGGTTCTCATTGGCGCTCCACTCGAGCACTCCTCCGAGCTCACGGGAAGATCTCCGAAGCAGCACTCTGCGCCGAAATTCACGCTGAACAGCAGGATATGGACCTACACGAAGAACGACACAAGAAGAGAGCGTCAGCACCAGAGTTCGCGTTTCACACTCAACGGCGCTACAATAACAACAACAATCGACAAAACAACCGTCAAGTTCAACAGTACGTCCCACCGTTTTGTCACCTCTGCAAGACGTCATGACATCCTCGTACACACTGCCCGAATCAGCAGCAGTCGACGTCGTCGCAGCGTCAACTTCGGCCCTCAAGCAGTCAAGTGGCTTCTACACAGGCGCATCCAACCAATCAAGTACAGTCCTCAACGTCTTCAACGACAAAACTTGCACAAGGAACAAGAAACATCGTGAGCTGCATGACAAGAACGTCAGACTCCTGCATCACCGGATCACCACCGTTCTACTCACCAGAAGAACAGCTCGACGAGAGCACTCCTCGCCGCGAATCACTTGAGCCCAATCCGACGTATGCAGCCATCGCCCAGAGCGAGCCGTCCGGGAAAGACACCTGGTTCTTGGACAGCTGCTGCGGACAGCACATGTGCTCCTCGGGTCACTTCTTTCAACAGGAACACCAACTTCAACGCGAAGTCATAATCACCGTCGCTAACAACCAGAACCTACACACACGATGACAAGGGATCGTTCAACTTCAATCTCGAGAAACCAATGTTATTCTGCAAATGTCGAAAGTTTTAATCGCAGAAGGACTCGGCTACAACTTACTCAGCGTCAGTCAATTGATGACGAAGGGCATTCATCTTGAAGCAGATAGTACCACTCAGGAGTTCAAGTTGTACCACGGAAAGGGCGGACTCTACATTGGCTAGGCGGTCTTGAAGAATAACGTCTTCGTTCTTGACTTCGTTCCGGACCAAGGTACCGCCGACAGCGACGCCATCGTCAACTTCACTTCTTGGACACATCCACCAGATCTCGACCCCGACTTCAGTCATGGAGGATTTTGGTACTCACATACCATACCTGAAGCAGAAAGAACAAGGGCATTAGCAACAATCCGGCAAGCAGAAACAACATCGACAGCAGCAGAGACAACATCGGTAGCAGCAGCAACACCTACGGCACCAATCGCGGGTTCTTCGACGGCATCAGTTCTCATCGACGACACTCCACCGACTCCTGCGCAGCAGTTAATTCCCACTCCACGCGAAGTTCACAGAAGCGCCAACCTCACCGCGGGATTTTATTCCAACTTCGACCTACACAAGCGCTCACCAGGACATCGTGCGAGCGAATCACTGTGGCACGAAAGATTGGGTCATCCAAGCAACACAACGTTAAAGAACACGATCAAGGCAGCAGTACTCGACAAAGATTCCTTACTTCTACCCGACGGCAGAGAACTTCAACGAGTCCAAGGTACATGTCTTACCTGCCCCGAAGCCGACTTACCTCACCAACCGTTTGTCTCTCACCACAATCCAAGCGCGCCAGCTTACGCACCACTGGAGAAAGTCTACGGCGATATCCTGTACACTCGCGAACAAGGTCAAGAAGCATACAACTACATGATTACTTTCATCGACGCCGCCACCCGATACGTCTGGCATCTCAACCTTCCAAGTCGCGACATGGCCTTCGAAGCCTTCGTCGCCTGGCTATCTGTGGCAGAACGAGAATCAGGAGCAAAGCTGAAAAGCTTCCAGTCAGACGGGGGAGGAGAATATCAGTCACAAAGGTTCAAGCAGTACCTCGCATAACGAGGCATCAAGCGACTCATCTTGCTTCCCTACGCCCATCAATAGCAAGGCGTGGCAGAACGGATGAACAGAACTCTCCAGAACACCATGCGCAAACTGTTGCGTGGCATGCGACTCCCCAACCACCAGTGGCCTGAGGCGATGGACCACGCTGTCATGCTACACAACTTGCTCTCGTCATCATCGCTCCTGAACAATGCATCACTGCACCTGCTGTGGACAGGAAAACTGGGCAACACAGAAACGTTACGAGTTTTTGGGTGCATGGTACAGTACCGACCGCACACTGCAAGAGCCGGAAGATTTTCATAACGCGCACAGTGGGGGCTACACCTGGGCATCGAAAAGAAGTACAATGCATGGTAGATTTTCGACGTCCACTCGAAGGAAACAGTAGCAGCACGTGATGTCATTTTCTACGAGCGACTCACACTTCAAACGTACCTGGACAACCTGACAGCAAATCGAGACCTCACGGGCGGCTTCCGTGGCAACTGAGCTTTCGCTTCGACAGCAGACGAAGCTGACTGGGACGAGCAAAACGTGGACGGAGCTTCGGAGGCAGCCGGACCTCTTCCGTATTGCTCATTGGACATCCCCATGGACTACGACAACCCTCACGAAAGTGTCAACGCCGAAACCTAC